TTGACCTCTGTCTGGAAAGAGTTGGACCATTACCAGAGTGTGGATTGGAAGTGTGATGAGGATGCAAAAATGTACAAAGCAACCTGTCTCCCAACAAAGGGTGTTTGCCTTCTTACATGGTCTGAATCCTATGTATGAATCTATCAGAGTTCAGATTCTCAGCTCTAAGGATCTCCCATCAGTTCAAGAAGTCTATGCCCTTGTACAATCTRAAGAGAGCAGAAGAAGTTTGATGAACAGTCCCGGTGGGGATGCAGTTGTGTTGGTAGCAAAAGGGGGTGCTTCTACTAGTGTGGGATCTTCTTCTAGGAAAGGAGATCTCCAGAACAAAACAGAAGATAAGGATAAATTGTGGTGCACTCATTGCCAGAAATCCTGACACACCAAAGATACCTGTTGCGATCTTCATGGGAAACCAAAATGGGCTCAAGATCTGACTAAGAAGCAAGGTTCAGAGGTGAATAAGAGGCCCGGACAGCAAGGTACAAAGAAACATCACATGGCCAACATGGTTACTCGGGAGAATCAACCTCCACTTCTACTGTGACTCAGACACATCTCACTGGATCTGACCTGAGGGAGGATATTATAAATTCCTTCCGTGACCATTTAGAGCTCTATGGTAGAGCACTTCGTCAGATGGATGCTCCTCCCTCAACCTCATTTGCATCTACATCAGGTAACCCTGCCACAGCTTTCCATGTTACTTCTCACACCCCTGACTCTTCATGGATCATTGATTCTGGAGCGTCAAAACACATGACTGGTACGTCCTCTTACTTTCAAACCTATCACCTTCTTTCTGGAAGAGACAAGGTGAGAYTAGCCGATGGATCATATACTTCCATAGCTGGTCAAGGAACCCTATCTCTTCCTCTTGGTCTTACCCTTTCTGATGTCCTTCATGTTCCAAAATTTCCCATTAATKTGTTCTCTGTTAGTAGTGTTACTAATTCCTTGAATTGCTCAGTGACCTTTTTCCCTTCTCATTGTGTGATTYAGGATCTGGCCTCGGGGAGGACGATTGGTAGGGGACGTATGGTTGATGGACTTTACATGCTGGAGAATAAGGCTGGTCTTCATGTTACAAAGTCTATGAGTCAGTCCTGCAAGAAGAGAGTCTATTTATGGCATTGTCGTCTAGGTCATTTGTCTTTTCAGTCTTTGAAAGTTGTATTCCCAAAACTGTTTAAGTCAATGCCTGTTTCTGATTTTTCTTGTCAAACGTGTCAGTTAAGTAAACATTGTAGAACTCAGTTTCTTCAAAGAAATAGTAAATCTGAATCTCCTTTTCACATTGTTCATTCTGATGTATGGGGCCYTGTTACTTTACCATCTGAGAGTGGCTACAAGTATTTCATTACCCTCATTGATGATTATTCTAGATATACTTGGGTATACCTGATGCGAACCAGGGAGGAAGTACAAAAAATCATTCAAAATTTCCAGCGGATGGTCATTACTCAATTTCAGACTGAAATTCAAAATTTTCAATTAGATAATGCCAAATAATTTTTTCATAGTGACCTCACTGAATTTTTTGCTTCGTGTGGTTCTCTTCACCGTAGCTCTTGTGCCCGCACGCCACAACAAAATGGTGTGGCCGAACGGAAGACCGACATCTCCTTGAAGTGGCTCAGGGTTTACTACTTCATATGAATGTCCCCAAACGTTTTTGGCTTGAAGTTGTACTTTGTTCCGCTTACCTTATAAATCGTATGCCCTCTCGTTGGTTAGAGTACAAAGCCCCACATCAACTTCTCTTTCCTAAGGCTCCCCTTCTTTCTATTCCTCCTCGTGTCTTTGGTTGTCGGTGTTTTGTCCAAAATCTGTCTCCCACCTGTGGGAAATTGGATTCTCGTGCTATCTCTTGCATATTTCTTGGTTACTCCTTTACTCAGAAGGGATACCGTTGTTTTGATCCTGTTTCTCGGAAATTCTATGTCTCCATGGATRTTTCTTTCTTTGAAGATGAGCCTTTCTTTCCTGTTTCTATTCAGGGGGAGTGTAGACATGAGGAGAAACTGGTTCAGCTTCCTCCTCTTCCTAATTCTTCACCATTGGCTCAGTTTCCTCTTCCTAATCCTTCTTCCCCTTCTCTTCCTGACCCTCCGCCTTTTCGTGTTTTTTCTCGTC